AAAGTTATAACTAAACATTATAATTAGTGATCAAAGAATTTGATACATAAATGGATGGAAATAAACTTCGATTTTTTCAATTAAATCCATTAAAAATGTACCATACATATTTTCTCGAGAAATTGATGATACTGTATTAAATAATGTTTTACAAAATTTGGCAAAAAAATATAAAAATATATTATGATTTTTTTTTCATATTTATATAAACAACTTCAACGACTATTATTGTAATAAATCTTTATTTATAAATTTGTCAAAAATATCATGTTTGTATCGTCGAACGTTTTTTTTTTAAGTTTTGTAATTTTTTTTTTCAAATTGTTTATCATTAATAAAGTTGGAAAAAATATAAATTAAAAAAAACTTTAAAAAAATAAAGATATATATGTTTTTTTAGGATAGAAGATGTCTGAAGATTTTAGAATACTCTGGTCCACATCTGCGCCAAGAAGAGGGCGCGCAGACATTTTTAGGTCTGAAGTCTTCAAAAAAACAAACACTCTGCGAATGCTAATGTCTGCGCGTGGTCTGCACGACGCAGACAGAAGAGGCCATGCAAATCTGCAGATAAAAAACAAACACTACCTGAGTCTTCTAGCATTTTGATGAGAGTGGTGCTAGAACTTGTAGCGAGTTTGGAGGCGAGAGGGGTGGTGAGGCCACTACCATAAGGCACAAGCCTTAGCCGTTCTAGAAAAAAAAACATATAATAAATATCATATATAAACAGGGTCTACATGAAAAGTTCCCGACTACGAGTTGATACATCTTTTAGCAATTGAACATCATAATTGTGTAATAATTTATTTTTTAGAACATAATTTATTACACATATGTCCCAAGTGAGACTTAGAACTAACAAACTCATGAAAATAAGACATTTCACCATATCGCTAGGCCAACGATCTTTTGTTAACTAGATAATAACTAATATTACAAATTAAGCTAGCTTGATGTACAAAATCCTTTAAAAACCAAGTATACATATAGATTTTGGATGTACAAGATATAATTAACATATACGTTGATAAATTTGAACCAATTAATCTACATATCGTCCTAATAAATTATCAGGTATCCCAATAAATATAAGATATCAGTCCATAATTAAAATATATACATAATGATTCATTTGAGACGAGTTTCTTTATGTAAAAGGAGGGAGGCGATCCTAGCCACATATTTGTATAGTTACACAATAAAAATAAAAATTTATTTATTTAAATTTTCATCACTTTTTATATCCAAAATTTTAAAAACGTAAAAATAGTATAAAATTAGAAAATCAATATTTTAATGATATATTCTATAGAATATTGTTTATGATAAATATTTTAATAATACTACCTCCGTCCCAAATTGATAGTCCACTTTTGACTTTTGAAATCTTTTTTCTTCAATTTTGACCTTAAATATTTTTATTTTTGATAGATAATACTTGATGCAAAATATATGAATGGACTATATTTTCAATGTTGTTTCATTGTTATCAGTTTTATCAACTAATATATAACACAAATAAAAATATTTAAGGTCAAAGTTGAAGAAAAAAGACTTCAAAAATCAAAAGTGGACTATCAATTTAGGACGGGGGGAGTATTCTCTCATAATATTTTAAAGATTCTTAAAATTTTGCAAATGTCATATATATATATATATATATATATATATATATATATATATATATATATAGGCTTAGGTTATTATATTCTAACTAATTATTGTGTGATTGTATGCATAAATGTGGGCCAATCATTTTACTTATTTTAAGAAAGTGATTAATATATATTATTGAATTAAATATAATTGAAAAATATCATCTAATTTAACTAGAAGGGTATTTTAGTCAATTAATATAGATTTAATAAAGGAAAATTGCATATTTTAAGGGATCATAGATTCTATTAATTTTAAAAATCCGATTTACGAATTATAAGGTTTTTAATTCGGACATTCTGACAGAATATGTTTAAGTATGTTCAAAAATAAAAATATTCTTGAACCATAAAATAATAAAAATATTCTTGAACATATTTCTTGATCATGACTTTAAAAATTTCTTGTAAAATAACAAAATTCTCGAACCATCTATTGCTAAGAATTTCATTTATTGTTAAAGAATAAAACTAAAAAACTTTCAAATCGGGAAAAAAAATCATCAAAATCTAACAAATACACTAATTCATTCTAAAAGAATAATGTTGCTAAGAAACACTTTCAATTTTGTTGTCTGTTCTTCAAGCATCAACTTCTTCAAACATCAACTTCTGTGAAAACAAATCCAATTATAGTTTAGAATCCAATAACGCATTAGCAAATGATAAATAAAAAACTGTATTCCTTTGGAAAAATATGCGGACTTGTTAACTGCACCAAAACCAATAACCAAAAATTGCAGAACATGTATAATCAATGAGAAAATATCCGTATTCCATTCCAACAGAATTAGAATTCGTGTTTCCATTCCGATAGAATTTGAATTCGTGATTCCATTCCGATAGAATTGGAATTGTATAAAATACACAAACCGATTTAATGCTTCTAGAACATCAGAAGGGGCGAGATTAAGTTCATCAAGAACTATCCAATGACCATTTCTAACTGCTTTAACCAATACCCCTTCTTGGAAAACAAGTTCCCACTTGCATCAGTTATATAAGAACCCAAATACTCATGTAAATCAGTGTGTTCATGGTTGTTAATTCGAACAAACTCATGCCCAGTGATCACAACAAGATACTGAACAAGGCTAGTTTTTCCACTAGATGTAGGCCCCTGGAAACTCGAAATTGAAGCTGGAAACATCATCACCCACTGTCATCATGGAAGCGGTGGTCGGAGGTGGCTGTCACCACCGTTACGGTGGTGGTGGTTGCGGTTTTCGATTAGAAAGTAGGAAGAAATCAAAGGAATATCAAAATTAAGGTACCTTTAATGAAGGATCCAATCTCAATCAGCCCTAGGTCGAGTTCCTTTCATTGAATTTCCGATTTCCAGTAACTACAAGGAAATGGATGGCCGTAGGTGGCATGACCTCTATCCCTTGTGATCCGAGCTTAATTCTTCTCACACCTGACATTTTCTTCCTGCTCTTTTTGTTGATTCAAACCTTTTAAAGATGTTTAATTCTGTACAATCGTAACAAAATCAAATTAAGGAAATTTGATCGAATACGTACTGCGATTGCTAAATTCAGAGATTATGAGAGAGATCCAATATTCCAGCAAGTCGATCAATCGTTATGTGAATGGTTGTGGTTGCGACCATTCAAATACAGAAAAGGAGAAGCAAATCATGAATGGAAACGAAGAAAGTGAAGTTGGGTTGATGTCGAATTGAAGATATGGAGTTGCTATGGTCGGCCGATGGTAAGGGTGTGAGACCGATTTATGAAGGGGATAAATTTAGGGTTAGAAAAAGTCAATTAGATAAAGAGGGGAACGACTCTAGATATAAACCTGGAGAAATTAGGTTAAAAGTCAATACCATGATTATAGGGATTATTTTTGGAAGTTATTAATCATATTACTTAATTACCCTTATTTATCTATTTATTTATTTAATTATTTATTTAATTTTGATTGGCTCACATGTATGCATACAATCACACAATAATTACTTTGAACACCTGAACCAATCTCTCTCTCTCTCTCTCTCTCTCTCTCTCTCTCTCTCTATATATATATATATATATATATATATATATATATATATATATATATATATATATATATATATATATATATATATATATATATATATAATGATTTTAAATTTTGGTAATATAATTTTTTGAAAGAATATAAGACATATCACACATTGTAATATTGTATATAATCTTCTATTAGAACATTGTTAAAGATTTTAAAATTTTGTACATTGCAATATTCTAATAGAATACTATGCATATTATATGTTTATTAATAATATTCTACTAGAATATATAATACATTTAAACAATGATTTTTTTATATAATATTTGGATTATCAAAATGACATAAATAACTTATAAATATATTTTTTTCCCTATTGTTTTAAATTTTGTTTATCCCCAAAAATATGTGATTGATTAAAAGGAAGGGGTCGAGTTAAGCAATGTTTTGACATAATCATTCTTGCTTATACGTGATTTATTTGGAGATTTGGAAATCTTTTTGTTTCGACAAAATCATGAAATGATATGATCATTCATAGCATTGTAATTGTCTCTTTTTCCTAGATTTCGAATTGATTGAAAAATGCAGTTAAGATTGGTTGGCTAGGCTAACAAAATCGTCATTAGTTCTAAATATGGGTGTATTCTCTTGTAATTTTGTCTAGTATATGGTTAAACTTTTTTATTGCGAAAAGTCATTGCCATTTCATAATAATAATAATAATAATAATAATAATAATAATAATAATAATAAAACAAAACAAAACAAAGCACCAACATTTAGTGACTGGATATTCAAATTTTCGGATACGATGTGACCAAATAACCGGTTATGCTAAGTTTAATGATCTATTTGAAAACGAAAAATAATTTGATATCCAATTTATCAAAATTAAAATAGTTAGTTGCAGTAAGCTAGTAACAATGAGTCAAGTTTTATACACGTGTATACAAGATATTGTTTTCTATACTTATTAATGTAAGAAATTTATCACCAAGGATATACATGGATCATTAAATAAAATTATAGAAATATTTTGTTTTTTTTTTCTTTTTTTGGCTATTAACTGCTGTCATTATTTTTTCTTTTTTTGGAAACAGCTAGTTGTCCATAATTATTGATTGGCAGAAGAATTATTTTTTAAAGACTTACAACGTTGACTTATGCAAGGGAAGGTGTATACAAATCGTAGTTTGCATGTTCAAATAATCAATCTCAAGTCTTCTTTCAAATTCATTCATTCATACGTAATAATCGATCGCTGAGGCAGAGGTATTGTCAGTTGCACCAAATCCTCTGTTTTTCTAGTCATGGCGTGAAGGAATTTGTAGGGTTATAATCATGAATGTTGTCCCTGTGCAGATGGCGCAAACAGATGGGCATTTAGCCCCAACCTTAACCCCTGATCCGCAGGATATCAGAATTTCAGTTGCTGATCCTACAAAACCTATTCCAGATCTACTTACCGGTAAATTCCGCTACCCATTTTACTCTTTACTTCGTCTACTGCTATTTAACACCACATTATTCCTTCGCACTAGTGCCCCACGCTTGCCCATGGTTGAGATAAGTGTTTATACCTACCTTTCGGTTTCCTTCGGGAAAATTAGCAAATTTTGCAAACAAGGGTAAAATCAACAGTGAAACGCCAGTGCTGTTTCCTAGAAAGTCTACATTAAGATGAATTGATTTTCAGTTGTCGTATATAATAGAGTAAATGTAAATCACACAAATTGTCTCGGAGGTTTGACCCAATCTTAGTTTCATCTCTATATTTTGTTTTTCATTCCGACCAAACCTAAAATGAGTATATTGCCTTTATCAGTTTCTTTTTTTCTTTTTATTTATTATTATTTTTTTATCCTCAATTAAAAAAAAAAAATGAGATCTATTTTGGTTTTTACTCTTTTTTAAAATATATTAATAATAAATAAATAAAATGTTAGTTTCAATATCCAGAGACACCAACAAGTAACTAAAACCAAAATTATAGTGTGCTTGATTTTAATGTGTAAAACCAAATTGAAGGATTCAAAGTGGCTGTACGCAACTATAATTGATGCTTAATTATGGTGAAAAGTTAAAGAATATTACAAATATTGTCCCTGGATGAATTGGTGCTAACTTTGCATTGGATTTTATTTTAAAGGAACTAGAAAGGAGTACATCAAAATCGCTATCCCTCTATATGAAGCATCAATTAGAGGTGATTGGAAAGCTGCTAAAATGATTCTTGATGAAAGGCCAGAGTTGGTAAGGTATAGTATCACTGGAAATAGCGAAACAACACTTCATGTTGCTGCATCGGCAAAAAACACCAAAAAGGTTGAAGAATTTGTGGAAAATCTGATGACTAAGATGAAAAAGGAGGACCTGGAACTTAAAAATGGCAGTTCCAACACTGCCCTTTGTTTAGCTGCTGCAGCTGGCAACGTTAAAATAGTTGAGATTATGGTTAAAAGCAACAGGGCTTTGGTGGCAATCACTGGTGCTGGAGGAATGACACCACTGTATATGGCGGCCTTGTTTGGACATTATGAGATGGTGAAGTGTTTGTATGGATATTCCCAGAAGTTGCGTGACGATTGCTGGACAGATGAGACCCGTAGTTGGCTTCTTCTGAAATGTGTGGAGACTGATATGTTTGGTAAGTGTTTTAGCATGTAGTTATTACACCTACAAATTCTCTATGTTGTCTATCATCATTCTTATTCATCAGCGATCTGTGTATGTACTTTTCTCTACTCCATGTTCTTAATAATAGTGGCTACGCATTATGGAAGATAGACCTCTAGCCTCTAGGTGACACCTTGGGCAACCACTTGTATAGTATTCAACTTGCTTTAAGCATTATCTAGGTGCATGTCCTGAACTATATATGAAGTCAAATATAAGCTAGTTTATTCTTATATAGGTAAAATCTTGCAAAAAAATGTTATCCGTGTCTCTAGCTAAGCCTGCGCCAATAGCTAAAACAAAAGTTTGATCTTCAATAAAATGATCACCATCCAATATGGCAATAATCCTTTATATATCTTAAACTTGCTGAAAATTAGATTAAGGGGGTAGGTTTACACAACTATATTAACCATGAGTTTTGACTGTCTTGAACTAGATTTGGTGATTTATTTCCGGATTGATATAAAGCAAACGAGCCTTATGCTTCGTTGTTCTTTTCACATTGTTGATTTTTTCGTAGCAGTAATATTCCCTCACAAAGTGATTGTTGAATCTGTTTTAGATATGGCATTGGATATTGTGAAAGAGCACTCAAAACTTGGTTTTAGTGGGCTTGCACTTGGAGCTTTGGCTCGAAAGACAAATGTATTTGCTGAAATAGAATCTAATATCATCAGGAGAACTATCGAGTGGGGTAAGCATCTCAACTCCTTGATGTTGATTATATATACATCTTCCGTCTTAAAAACTAGAAACTAAATATTGATATGAAATGTGAGAAAGAGCCATTAAACAAGTCACCCCTTTCTTTTTATAAAATTTTCTATTCTCTTATTTTTTGACCGGTTAAGTTAAGACCACCAATAAACATATTCTAAACCATGTGACATGCCAGAAATTTGCCAGTCATAACAATATTCCTCTATATTTATCAAGTAACTGAAGTCTATAACCCAACTTCATCCATCAGTTTTTAACTTCTAAATATGTGGTAGGCTCTGATAACTGAAAGTAGCTAATTAAGCCCACCTTTGGATTCTTTTCCCATTGTTGCTTTCAGTTTGGACTTGCATTCATCCAAAGGTGGGACCTTCTAAAATGGAAAGTAAAGCTGATGCACTGGAACTACTAAAAATTATTTGGGGAAAAATTGCGGAGAAGCCTACGAATGAAATTGATAACATAATCAGAGGGCAGCCTGATCCCATTAAGAAAGATGACGATCCAGCTTCTGACACGGATCAAACTCTACAACTACTACAAAAAATTTCAGACAATACTTCCAAAAAGCATAATGAAAGTGGGATCATAAACAAAGAGCATGCTGCTACAGCTACAAACAATACGAATGTAGCCTTGCAGGAAAATGCAAGACCAAAGTACTCTTCTCGAATACTATTTGTTGCTGCCGAAATGGGGAATACTAGATTTGTTATTGAGCTCATCCGTCTATATCCTGATATAATATGGAAACTAAATGATGACAATCAAAGCATATTTCACACTGCTGTCAAACATCGTCATGAGGGTATCTACAACTTATTGTACGAGATAGGCTCAATGAAGGATCTCATAACTCCTCTTAAAGATACAAATGAGAACAACATGTTGCACTTAGTTGGGAAGAGTGCTAAGAAAAAGCGACTTGAGGATGTGTCTGGAGTTGCTTTTCAAATGCAACGAGAACTATTATGGTTCAAGGTATATATGTTTTCTTCCCCACACTATCTTTCTTTCTTTTTCCCTTACATCACTTCATTTCATCTAGCATTGACATAAAACACGTTGTCACAGGAAGTGGAAGAGATGATCCCTCCTGCTTATCGGGAACGGAAGAACAAAGATGGACTAACACCACACGAGTTATTCACCAAGGAACACAAAGATCTAGTCAAACAAGGTGAGGACTGGATGAAAGATACGGCTAGCCAATGTATGGTGGTTGCTGCACTTATTGCCACCATTGTATTTGCTGCAGCTTTCACAGTTCCAGGTGGATACGATCAGAACGATGGTTTCCCCATCTTTTCTAAAAATTTACCCTTCATCATTTTCGCTGTGGCAGATGCCATTTCTTTGTTCTCATCATCAGCAGCGATCCTCATGTTCTTATCCATACTCACATCACGTTATGCCGAACGTGATTTCTTGGAGTCATTGCCCAAAAAGCTGATGTTAGGTCTAGCAACACTTTTCCTCTCCATAACAACCATGATGATTGCTTTTAGTGTTAGCTTCTTCGTGCTATACCACAACAAACTGAAATGGATACCAATCCTTATCTCGTTTTTTTCTGCCTTGCCAGTCATCTTATATGTTTCACTGCAGTTTTCTCTGATAAAAGACGTCTTTTTCTCGACATATGCTTCTAGGTACCTCTTCCGGCCCAAGAAACATATTCTTTACTATGAAAACTAACCGCCGTTGGTTCCCATTAACAAGTCCTTTCATTTCAAGGTGTACTTTGAAAATGTTGTACCTGTTGTTAGTTTAAATTTTTAATTGTAATATGATTCACTCATGTTTGTTTCAATGGCTTTGTTTAGATTCATAAGATAACACATAAAAAAGTGACATTACATATCATTAATGATATTGGGTTTTGGAAGGCAATCCGGAGGGTTAAATTGATCAAGTTAGTAATTGGGATTAAAGGGAGACAAGAAATGCAGATTCTCCATGTATGATATGAGAGCCCAAAAACCCACTTTAATCAAATAAATGAATTCCTCACATAGGCCACGACTTTTCTTACCATCCCATATAACTGTGTAATTCACTAGATTTTTATATAATATCCAGACATTGGCCACGTCTACGTCATGGGTTGTTTTATCCCAACGCTACCACCAAACAGTGACTCACTACGCACTAAATTAACTGTATGTACAATATAAGCCATCGAATAATTTTAACAAGAATCCAAGATTCAATACCCATTTGAGCTAAATTCTAAGAAAACCACAACTAGGGCTCATAATGTAAACCATACCTCTGATTTCTTTAAATTTTGGCTAATAGCTTGATCCTCTCCGTCAAATCTTCAGGGTTATCCCCAGATTTTAAATTGCTTTCATCACTTTGATGTTTCTTTTTGCAATGGCTTTTTTCGTGTTCAAAACACACTTATACTCACTCTGTTCTCGACTGCGTGAAATAAAAGTGAATGAAAGTAGAATACAGGGGAAATGTGTTCTTGAGTTCCATTTCATTTCATTCCATTTTCCTCCATCACTACCATCCGTCCTCTAGGTCGCCACAATGCACCATCAGTCTGCTCCAATGCGACTTTCTCCACTGAGTCTACTGCCATTACAGCCCTTCTCACAACTCTATTTGCATAGATCTCGACTCATTACAAATATAGAATTTTTGTTTGATTGTATAAAGAAAAAACAATGGGATGTCGTAACCAATTCTTAAGCCCTGATTCCTTCAATTCAAGATCAAACAAAATTCATCCTCTCTGCACTGTGGTTGATTACCCAACTAAGTACCTGGATCTCAAAATTATAGCAACGAGTTACCTTCCGTTAAAAATAGGGCAATTTAAACGGGCACGATTAAAAGTTGAGATGATCCAAAGGCTCAGACTACTTTAAAAATATATAATTCTAGGATTGAATGAATGGTTTACCAGCCGTAAGTAAAATGGTCCACGGACTAGAACCGTGACAAAAATACTTTCCACATCCAAAATAGGTTAAAAATATTTCTAAGTACGCATATATATGATAGATGACATATATAATATACGAAAAAAAGTCAGCAAATCGAATATTGTAACTTGCCTTTGATAATATTATATGTATATCTTCTTCCTTTTTGGCAACTAAATGTTGACATTAAGTGGGGAAATAACTCATTTTTAGACCATAGAAACCGTTGACATTGACTTAAGCAAAGGGAAATTGTATATAAATCATAGCATGCTGCATGCATGTTGATCACATAATCTCATCTCATCCTTTTTCAATTTTTATCCGGTTGTTCATACGCATCAATTGCTCGCTGACGCAGAGGTATTGTCAGATCAGTCTCACCAAATCCTCTTAGGGATTTAACTTTTAATCATTATTCATCAATAATTAATTAATGATGTCTTTCTGCAGATGTCGCAAACAGGTCTCCCATTACCCAACTTCGATGTGCAGAATCCATCAAGCCAACAGCAGCAGCATGCAACCGGAGTTTCATTTCCTCCACAAGATCTACCAATACCTGCATATCCAGTTAATACGGGTAACTTCTATCCACCGGTTAATCTTTCTCCGGTACTTTTCTACATACACAGTTTGCTTCCGTTACAATCTCCTGTTGTTTTTTACTGTTAAAGATCGCAAAAAAGCAGCAGATGTCCCAGTACCCCAATATCCATCAATACCACATCCATTTATGGGTAACTTTTGTCCACTAATTAATCTTTCTCCGGTACTTTTCTACATACACAATTCGCTTCCGTTACAATCTCTTGTTGTTTTTTACTGTTAAAGATCACAACAAAGCAGCAGATGTCCCGGTACCCCAATATCCACCCCAATATCCATCAATACCACATCCATTTACAGGTAACTTCTGTCTACTAATTAATCTTTCTCCCATACATTTCTACAGGGACGGATCTTCTTAGGGGGGGGGGGGGGGGGGGGGGGGGGGGAGGGGTGGCTTCCCTGTTTTTTTTTAGAACTAGTCCATTACTATTAAAAACTTTACATATTAGACCCAAAACAAAAAAAATGACTGTGGACCCCCCTGTTCTTCAATTTTTATATATATTTTACTTTCGCCCCCCCAACTCATATGTTCAAGCTTCGTCCCTGCATTTCTACATACACAATGCTCTTCGTTACAATGTCCTGATGTTTTTACTTTTCCAATCACAACAAAAACAACAGGTTTCCCATTACCCAACTTCGATGTGAAGAATCCACCAAGCCAACAACAACAACATGTAGTCGGAGTTTCGTTTGCTCCACAAGAGAAAGCAATACCAGATCTATTTAACGGTAACTTTTGTTAACCATTTTCCTCTGAACTGCTGCTTTTGTTGTGATCTGAAAAATAAAACAAAAAGTGTTGGAATCAAATCGCTTGATTCTTCAAGATTCTTTATGCATAATAAATTCACTTGATTCTCTGAGAATGTAGCTCAAACAAAGAAGGAAACTAAAGAGGAACAGAATATTAGATAACTATTAGATAAATATATTGTATATATTGTTAAATATGTTATGTATATCTGTATTCTATAGATCCTACATTATAGGATCTCATTATTATAATTCATTAGTATATATACAATATCATACACACGTTTTGGTGTGTGGTTCAATTTATCTCAGTCTTACATGGTATCAGCCTAAACCATCCGATCCTTCCCTCCTTCTCTTTTCCGCTTCTTTTCTCAAAACCCTAGAAGATGTCGACTTCTCAGGATGGCACCTTTTCAATGAACACTTTGCTTCATATGATTCCCATCAAGTTATGTTCCACCAATTATCTTCTCTGGAAGAATCAGATGCTTCCCTTACTCTCTTATCAGAAGCTTTTGCCCCACGTTGATGGCACCTCTGTTCAACCTGCTGCAACAGTCGAAGTTGACAACAAATCAGTTCCCAATCCAGCTTTTACCTCCTGGTTTGATCTTGATCAGAAGGCTGTGATTCTTCTCAATTCGTCATTAACTGAAGAGGCTGCTGCTGAAGTACTTGGGCTCTCCACAGCTCGTTTGATATGGACCTCACTGGAATCCGCCTATAGCAGTTCTTCGGTAGAAAGAATTCATTCCTTACGCGACTCTTTGCGCCAAATGACAAAAGGTACCTCTACTATCTCTGAATATGGTAGAAAGTTTAAGTCTGCTTGTGATAAATTGGCTGCCATAGGCCAACCAGTTGAAGATATGGATAAAATCCATTGGTTCTTATGCGGATTAGGGCCTTCATTTGAAACATTCTCTATTGCCATACGCACCAGTAAACCCTCTCCAACCTTTCGTGATCTTATATCTCAGGCAGAGAGCCATGAGTTGTTTTTAAAATCCATCCATGGGACCACTACTCCACCTGCAACTTTTATTTCTCAATCTCGTTCCACCAATAACAGGGGTCGGTCAACAAATTATCCACGTGGTGGCTCTCGTGGATCTGCTGGTGGTGGTAGAGGCCGTGGGGGGCGTCGTCCTCCCCATTGCCAGCTTTGTCGCACAAATGGACATTATGCGTCCTCTTGTCCAAGTCTGTCTACATATGCTTCCAACTCTCTTCATCAAGACTCAAACTTGGCACAAGCGTTTCATTCCCAGTGTCATGTAACTCAGGGAAATCCCGATTGGTATGTGGACTCGGGAGCAACTGCACATATGACTTCCTCAACAGATAATATCACCTCACCTGCTCCATATTCTGGTAATTCACATGTTATTTTTGGTAATGGAAACAATCTGCCAGTTTCACATATTGGTGACACCATGGTTCACAAAAATATTACTTTACGAAATGTCTTGGTTGTTCCTCATTTAACCAAGAATCTGTTATCAATTAGTAAACTTACCATGGATAATCCAGTTGATGTTCTTTTTTCTCAACCATTCTTTCATATTCAGGACAGGTCAACCAAACAAGTGATAGCAAGAGGTCGGTGTGAGGATGGATTGTATGTGCTTAAAGATGATCATACAGCCTTGATCGCTTCTTCTGGAGTTTCTAATAAAGATTCTTTTGAACTATGGCATAATCGTTTAGGACACACCTCTTTTGATGTTATCTCTAATTACAAAAACTTGGTTTGTTGAATGTTACTTCTATTTTGCCTAAACCAGTTTTTTGTGAACCTTGTCATCTTTCTAAGGGACAAAAATTACCCTTTGATTTAAATCCTAAACGATCATTAAATCCGTTAGATTTGATACACTGTGATTTATGGGGACCAGCTCCGGTTGAATCACATGGTTTTATATTATGTTGTGTTTATTGATGATCACTCACGTTTCACATGGTTTTATCCTTTGCAAAATAAGAAAGGGTTTTTATGCTGTTTTAAAGAATTTTATAAAGCTTGTTCAAACACAACTATCACGGAAATTAAGGTTTTTCAAAGTGATGGGGGCGGTGAATTTGTCAATCACATTGTTCGTGAAATTTTGAAGAAAATGGTATTGTTCATCAGCTTTCGTGCCGGCATACTCCCCAACAAAATGGCAGAGCTGAACGGAAGCATAGGCATATCGTTGAAACTGGTCTGTCTATGCTTTTTCATGCACATGTCCCGACCTCCTATTGGGTTGATTCTTTCAGCTCAGCTACATATATCATCAACCGGCTTCCTACCAAGATTCTCAATAATCATTCTCCATTTCAGTTGCTTTTCTCACGCATACCTTCTTATGGAAATTTTCGCACTTTTGGTTGTCAAGTGTACCCATATCTTCATGACTATTCAGCACACAAGCTTACACCACGGAGCATTTCTTGCATCTTCATTGGTTATCATCCTCAATATAAAGGGTACAAATGTCTTGATCCAACAACATCACGGATTTATATCACTCGGCATGCGCGTTTTAATGAAACCTCTTTCCCCTTTGCTGATCAACATGTGTCCTCTGTTTTCCAAGCTGGACCTATCTGTTTTCTTGGATGACGGGCCTCTTCATACTTCACTTTTTGATCAGCCTACTAAAACCGATACCATTCAACGGACCCATTCGCCTCCAGTTACCAAACCATGCTCTTTATGTGAACCTGTCTCTCGCAACAATATCCCTGTTGGCCCGTTATCCGACGATGGCCCTGCTACACCTCCTACACCTGACAACGACCCAATTAACGATTCATCTTATGGCAGTCCACCTTCTGATAATGACAACTCAGATCCCAGACCATGTCCGGACCCTCCAAATCGAGCTTCCTCACTCCATCCTATGACTCCCAATTTTTAAGCCCAAACATCTCTTTGACATTTCTTCCTTCGCTCAACATGCATTGCATGCTGCCCTATTTTCTGAATCTCAACCAAAAGGATATAAGTCAGCTGCAAAAAATCCACGATGGTTGGCTGCCATGAATGAGGAGATGGAGGCTCTACGTCACAATAATACTTGGGTGTTAGTCCCACGCCCATCTTCCTCAAATATTGTTGGTTCTAAATGGGTTTATCGTATTAAATTCAATGCCGACGGATCTGTTGAACGGTATAAAGCACGTCTGGTCGCTCAAGGTTTCACACAAATTCCAGGGATAGATTATTCACATACGTTCAGTCCTGTAATTAAAGCCTCTATTGTCCGCATTGTTCTATCTCTTGCAGTATTGAACAAATGGCGTCTTCATCAGTTGGATGTTAAAAATGCTTTTCTCATGGTCAACTCACAGAGACTGTGTTCATGGAGCAACCACCTGGTTTCACCGATCCCCAATTTCCAAATCATGTATGCAAGTTATCCAAAGCTCTCTATGGTTTGAAGCAAGCACCTAGAGCCTGGTTTCAACGTCTCAGCACCTTTTTACTATCCAACGGTTTTGTCTGCAGTCGTGCTGACACTTCCCTGTTCATTTTTTCTCGAGACTCTTGCATCATGTATCTTCTCGTTTATGTTGATGACTTGATTCTTACCGGCAGTCATGAGTCTGTCATCACTACATTTACTGCTCGTTTAAATCGTGAATTTGCCATTAAAGATCTTGGCGACTTGAGTTACTTTCTTGGACTTGAAGTTAGTTACACTGACAATGGTTTATTTCTAAGTCAGTCTAAATACACTAAAGATGTTCTTACCCGGGCGGATTTGCTTGATTCCAAACCGGTCCACACGCCTCTTGCTACACATGAGACTTTCACCTCTGATGGCTCTCCTTTTTCCGATCCCACTCTTTATCGATCGCTTGTCGGGGCCTTACAATACTTAACTATTACCAGACCAGACTTATCTTATGCTGTTAATCAAGCCATTCAATATCTTCATGCACCTACGGATGCTCACTTTCAATCTGTCAAACGCATTCTGCGTTATGTTAAGGGTACTGCTTCATTTGGGCTTCTTTTCTGTCATCCGCAGACCAACACCATATTGGGCTATTCTGATGCTGACTGGGCTCGTTGTCTTGAAAACTCGTCGCTCTACTTATGGCTATTCCATATTTCTTGGCGGCAATCTTGTCTCCTGGAGTGCAAAGAAGCAACCAACTGTCTCACGATCTAGTTGTGAATCTGAATACCGGGCCATGGCGAACACAGCTGCAGAAATTGTCTGGATCACTCATCTTCTACGTGAACTTCATGCCTTGCCACCGGATCGACCAACTCTGCTCTGTGATAACAAAAGCGCCTTATTTATGACTCAAAATCCTGTTGCTCACAAGCGCGCTAAGCACATTGACCTTGATTATCATTTCATCCGGGAACTTGTCACTTCCGGCAAACTTCACACCAAGTTTATTTCTACCAAGCTTCAAGTGGCGGATATCTTCACCAAAAGCCTTCCACGTCCTCAGTTTGAGCATTTTCGTACTTTGCTACGCGTTGGTCCACCGCCTATTCGCTTGAGGGGGGATATTAGATAACTATTAGATAAATATATTGTATATATTGTTAAATATGTTATGTATATCTGTATTCTATAGATCCTACATTATAGGATCTCATTATTATAATTCATTAGTATATATACAATATCATACACACGTTTTGGTGTGTGGTTCAATTTATCTCAGTCTTACACAGAATACGTGAAAGAAGAACAAGGCTTAACAGGAATCAATTTTCTTGATTCTTGTGGAATGAAACAAATCTTAACTGTGCAGGAAAAGAAACATGGAAGAAAAACTTTCTAAGAATTTACTTAGGTTGCAAGTACCTTACTAATCAAAGCTTAAAAGACTTGCAAAACTTGAGCTGAAAACATAAAACATCTACCCTATTTATACTAAACGGATTTGAATCCTACATACTACAATACAAAAACTCAATAAAATAGAAACTTTCCAGTTTTACCCCTAGGCTTAATTAAATTGTCCGGATTTCTAAATTATCCACCATGTAGAAAAGTGTCGGAGAAAGATTAATTAGTGGGCCACAATGACCACAAGATCTGCTTTTTTATTGCTTAGCGAAATATAACTAAGGGCTTTTGACATAAAAGTTCTTTAAGTTTGTCAGGTTTTGTTGGTTTTGTTTTGACATAAAAGTTCTTTAAGTTTGTCAGGTTTTGTTGGTTTTGTTTCTGTGACGATTTTTTGTTCATTAATGTCCAAAATTTGCCAAGTTTTTTTCATTTTTGTCCTTTTTTCAAATCTTTTATGTTTTTACCCTAAGTATGTTTTTCAAATTTGCAAAAAAAACCCTTAAGTTTACAAATCTTATATGTTTTTATCCTAAGTATGTTTTCCAAATTTGAATTAAAGTCCTTAAGTTTGTTAAATTTTGTCGGTTTTGTCCCTGGACATCAACTATTATAGGTAACAAGGGCAAAAATGTAAAAAAACTTGGTAAATTTTGGACATTAGCGAACAAAAAATCGTTATAGGGACAAAACCAACAAAACCTGACAAAATTTAAGGACTTTTATGTCAAAAGCCCTGTAACTAATTAATAACAAGTCATGAATTTCTTTAGCATAGGTGTGATGGTCTTATGGAGTTAACAAAAGAGGTTAAGTAGTGACCGGTCCCAACATTAAATTTAGACAAAACCTCATAAATGGTCCCTTCCCGAAATTTGGGATGGTCCCTATTTCAATTTATATCATGGTTGGTTCCTCATCCACCTAAAAAGACTTTTATACCCTTTTTAATTTGTTTTATGATTTCATACGTAAGTTTGTCACTCCCACTCGATGGCTTAAAGCATTAGAGTTTCCTTCAACAAGAGTACAACGAATAAATTCCAAACTTACACCAATACAACAAATTTCTTGTCACAACAAGTAACCACTAATAACAACACACAAATGGATATATATCGCACTATGTGGGAGCTATCTCATTGTAGTTTGACTCCTTTTTTTAGCTAAACCCATAAGCTTTGAGCCGTGCATCAAACCATGTTGTCTCGAATACTAGTATTAGTAGTATATAAACCCATTCACTTTTAATTATGCATTTGCTTCGCATTAAAACCCTTGTGCACGAGGAGCATGGAAGAGACTGTCGTAAGATTTCAAATGAGCAGATTGACCAACCTCGAAAGCACATCGGCACAAGGCTACGTGAGCGTCGAACAAAAGGAGCACCAACGGTGGAGCAGAGGTAGCTCGTTGGAGGTGTGACAATCGTCGGGCAACGGAGGATTGTGCTGCGATGATGAGGGTTTTGACGGAATTCTTATATGGCCAAACTTGATACCTTGTTTGATATATGAAAAAACCCGCTAGGGTTTGCATTAAGAAAATTGCGAAAATGGTCTCGGCAAAATTTTATAGTTTTGGTGGTGCACTAATGGTCAAAAATTATATCTTTTTATTGGTTTTGGTCTCTATCCACTTAAAAAGACAATTATACCCCCTTTATATTTGTTTTCTTTATTTTTTATATAATTTTAATGATTTTAAGTAATTAAAATTTAAAGAATGGCCTTCTCTCTCTCTCTCACACACACACACCGATGGTTCTTTTCATCTCTAACACCCCTATTACCTCTCTTTTTCTCAATCATAAAAACAAACTCAAGAACACCCCCAATTGTCACCGCCATCCGCCAACACCACCGGATATCAGTGTGTACATCAGGTGGAAGGAAGTGATAGTGGTCGTGACGGAGTAGTCGATGAAACCTCTCCTTCTCATATTTGAAAACCCACATTTCCCATCTTCCCCCCACACTCTCATCGCTCTTCGCCGCCAGCGACCAAAATTGACCCAATTTCACACCACCCGACTCTTCTCATAGAAAAGCGTGCTTAGATTGAATCAAGGGGTGCTCAAACCCAAATCGAATCACCCACCAGAAATCATTGCCAAGTGTGTGACGTGCTAAACGAACTGAGTCATCGGAGATGACGGGGGAATTTAAACCGTTTGTACAAGAGGAAAACAAATTGGGTCAAAACCTAAGGCTCCTTGTGGGAGATCGGTTGTAGATAGAGATACTAGATATATATATATATATATATATATATATATATATATATATATTCTATATATATATATATATATATATATATATAGAGAGAGAGAGACGAGGAGAGAGAGAGAGGGGGACTCATTATGTATCGTAGCAACGTTCAACGATGACGAAGGTGGTAATGGGGAGACAGAAACTGGGTGGAGCAGCACCACCACCTATCAACAAATCCTTGATATCTTCTGATTCGTTCGCTTTAATTTTTTTCAATCAATTTTTTCTCTAAACCATATTAGTTGCAATGGTACAGATTTTAGGGTTTCAGATGGAATGGAAAAAAGGTGATGGTGGAGGAGATGGTAGGGTGGCGACGAATGGTAGGGATAGTGGCGATGATTGATTGTTTTGAGGTTGTTGGTGGTGTGATGTTGGTGTGATGGCCATGGTGGTGGTGGTATATATATCTTATATATCTATATATATCATCTATATATATATATATATATATATATATAGAGAGAGAGAGAGAGAGGAGGAGGAGGAGGAGGAGAAGAAGAAGAAGAATAAGGAGGAGGATAAGGTAGGATGGAGGTGGGGTGGGTTTATTTATTTATTTATTTTTTTTGTTTTTTTAGTTGTAAGATAAGAAAAAAAAAGGTTATAAAATTAATCATTTTTGTGTCCCGAGTTGAAGAGAAGTGGACGAAAATTAATCAAATTTTTTTCTTTCTTTCCAAATCCTACCAAATCAAAAGAAAAGTTATGAGGGAAAGTGATCATTCCATTTCCCCCCACTTCCTTCCATTTCTTTCCTTTCATGAAACTCGGAAACACCAACTTCTTTTATTTTCTTCTTATTTCCACCTATTTCCTTTCTTTTCTCTCGTTAAGTTAAACTCGAGAACGGGGTGTTAAGGTTGGGTTTGGACCAAAAACACACAAAAATGCCAATTATAGGGACCAAAACCACACAAAAAAGTCAATTATAGGGACAAAAACCACATAAGGTATCCAAAATTGGACGGTTGAACCACCAAATTTTTTTTTACCAAAACCACCTAATTTTGACAACCACGTGGAACATTTTTGCAGTTTTGTGGTTTGCATTGCATTGGTTATAGATACAACAACTTCAGAAGAGACCTTACAATAATAATTCATATTACATTGTTTGGAAGGTGCTTCGTGTCTGCATTCTTTTAGAAATTTCTCATGAAATACGTTGTTCTTTCATAGAAAGCCTACTTTAAGATGGAACCAATTTTAAGGTCTCACTTTTTATATGTTAGATCTTATTCAGAGAGACCAACACGTAAAACCATAACCATAGTGTGCTTGATTTTAATGTGTTAAACCAAATTAAAGGATTCAAATTGGTGCGTATGCAATAGTATTGATGTTTGATTATGGTGACAAATTAAAGTTTACTGCAATTGTTACTGGATGAATGTGGTATAACTTTGCATTGGAACTACTTTGCAGGACCTAGAATTGATTACATCCATTTTGGTGTCCCCCTATATGAAGCATCGATCAAAGGTGATTGGAAAGCTGCTAAAGACATTTTTGATGAAACGCCAGCGTTGGTAAGGTATAGTATCACTGAAAATGGCGAAACAGCACTTCATGTTGCTGCATCCGCAGAAAGCACCAATGAGGTGGAAGAGTTCGTGGAACATCTGGTGAATTACATGCAAAAGAAGGACCTGGAACTTCAAGATAAAAGTTCCAACACTGCCCTTTGTGTAGTTGCTGCATCCGGAAAAATTAACATGGTTAAGATTATGGTGCAAAAGAACAGGGACTTGATGTCAATCCGTGGTTGGCAAAATATGATGCCACTTTATATGGCTGCCTTGTTTGGACATCATGAGGTGGTGAAGTATCTGTATCAAGAATCGAATAATCTGCGTGATGATAGTTATTGGACACCGAAGACTCGTGGTTGGCTTCTTTTGAAATGCGTCGAGTATGATATGTTTGGTAAGCGTTTTAGAATGTACTTATTAATTACACACATTCTATTTTGTTGTCTATCATTAGCTCCTTGTTTTTGATAAGTAGTGGATGCTCTTACATTAGCTAACCTAGGTGATACATGGGCAACTACTTATTTTACTTACTTTGTGTAAAATATTCGGGTTAGCCAACTTTATGAAGTCAAATATAAGCTCCCAGAAGAGTTAGTATCTTTTAGTTTATTCTTATTGGTGCAAATCGTGAATAAAGTGAAATCCATGTCTATACCTACATCAATATAAAATTATTAAACTATAACCATCCATGCAATATGACTTTAACCTCACTACCAATACACAAGTAATCCTTACACTACAAGTAATATCTTTATGCTTTGTGGTGTTTGTTTCCATGTTCCCTCACAAAGTGATTGTCAAATCCCTTATAGATGTCGCACTACGGATTGTGAAAGATCACCCAGAACTTGTTAATAGTTCGGATGTACTTGGAGTTTTAGCTCAAAAGCCTGATGCATTTTCTAAAAGAAAATCTAATATCATCATGAACACCGTCAAATGGGGTAAGCATCTTTACTCCTTTGTTGGTATGCGATACTATGCATCCATCTGTTTACCAGTGTAGCCAATCTGTGATGTGAAGGTTCGAACAAAGACGCTTCCATTCTAATGTTTTTCATGGTGTACGATTCGTCAAGCATTAACATTTTTTCATATGTAAGATCCATGTGATGTCAGAAATTTGCCAGTCATTACACTATTCCTTTAGGTCTATGGAATAGAGCCCAACTTTATCCATCATGCTTTACTTGTAAATCTCTGGTATCATTCATTTAACTTCTTAATTTACTTGTTAATTTCAGTTTTTACAGTCATTTTTCCAAAGGTGGGAGTTTATGAAAAGGGAAGTACAGCACTGGAATTACTAACAATCATGTGGCAAAATATTGCGATGAAGTCTAAGAAAGAAATTGATGTCATACTCAGAGGGACGCCTGTGACGTTGCCGGGAAATGCAAAGAAAAAGTACTCTTCACAAATACCATTTGTTGCTGCAGAAAGGGGCAATACTAGATTTGTAATTGAGCTCATCCGTCTATATCCTGATTTGATATGGAAAGTAAACGATACCAATCAAAGTATATTTCACACTGCTGCCGAACATCGTCATATGGATATCTACAATCTATTGTATGAGATAGGCTCAAAAAGGAATCAGATAACTCTTCTCAAAGATGCAAATGAAAACAATATGCTCCATTTAGTTGGGAAGAGTGCCAAGAAAAAGCGACATGAGGATGTCTCTGGAGCTGCTTTTGAGATGCAACGAGAACTATTATGGTTTAAGGTACATATTCCTCCTCGTCCTTCTAGGGTTCTCATGCAAATTGTCTTTCTTTTTTCATTACATTACTTCATTTTCATCCATGAATATCTAATATTGAAAAATAAATTGTTAAGAGACCCTTGTAAAAAACCATTTTAGAAACAACCGACCAATAATGTTTGTATGCAATTTGTTGTTCACAACCTTCATGTGACATGTTAATATATAGTCTGCGAGTAAACTTTCTTATATAAATCTAATTTATGTGTTACTAACGGCTGGAATGCATAGTTGACACCTCAATCAAATTTATCTACTCAATGTATAAATGTTGTAGGAAGTAGAGGGGATGGTCCCTTTTTCTTATAGGGAAGAGAGAAACAAAGATGGCCTAACACCACACGAGTTATTCACTGTGGAACACAAAGATCTAGTTGTAAAGGGTGAGGAGTGGATGAAAGGAACAGCTAGTCAATGTATGGTGGTTGCTGCTCTTATTGCCACCATAGTTTTTGCTGCAGCTTTTACGGTTCCTGGCGGATACAATCAGAATGATGGTATCCCTATATTTTATCGAGAAGTAAGCTTAAAGCTTTTTGTAGTGGCGGATGCCATATCTTTATTCTCATCATCAGCTTCTATAATCATGTTCTTATCTATCCTTACATCTCGTTACGGTGAACGTGATTTCTATGAATCATTGCCTAAAAAGTTGACGTTGGGTTTAGCAACACTTTTCTTGTCGATAACAACCATGATGGTTGCGTTCAGTCTCAGCTTGTTTGTGTTATACCATAAAGATCTAAAATGGATACCGATTCTTGTCGCCATGTTTGCTACCATGCCAGTCTTCCTATTCGCTACGCTGCAATATCCTCTCTTAAAAGACATAATACTTGCGACATACGGTTCCAAGTACCTCTTTCGGCCGAAGAAACGTAATCTTTATGAAAATCATCAACGTTTTCCAATTCCAATGCGTTTTTGAAATTGTTTTAAGTGTAATAATTTTATTTGTAATATAATTATGTAAGTGTTATAATAATTTTGTTTGATTCCATAAGATGAAACAGCGTATACAAATATTGTTATATTGTATTATTTATATATAGTCAATATGAAATAATGTTGTGAATCTAAAGGATGGTCGGAGAAATTGAACTCTTACTATTAGTACATATATTCTTACTAGGTTATAGCTCGTGGAACCACATTTACAAAAATAAATAAATTTTTATAGTAAAAAAGTCATAATTATTAATCAGTTAGTAAACGATTAAATATAAACAACTTATCATGATCCTTGGTGATTTTATTACAACTTTTAGGGACAAAAAAACTCACCAAAATATGATACGTAGTATGCTCAAGCATATGTAACAATTTCAAGCCAAGAATATGATAGAACTTAAAGCAGACACAAACCTATAGAGCCTAAAACAAAGTTTTGACTACAAAATCATTAACCACTTCTAATTCTTGAAAATACTCTTGAGTAAACCATTCAAAAGTGAAACTATAGAACAACAACCAAGAGAAAAAAACATCTTTAAAAAACAATGAATAAATTGACTTGTATGCTCATGAAAAGATAACAACAATGAACATGTGGTGCCCAGGAGACCCAAATGTCTCTTTAATCTTAAAAGTTCTAGAAGCACATCAAAACAACAATTTTCAAGAGCATTATTGTTTGAATACATGCCAAATTATCCCACTTAAAAAAAATTAGTTCTAAAAATCGTAATAGCAAATTACATTGCTATTAACATTATAATTTCAAACCGAATTCGTCTATCTTTTGGCCTTTAAAATAAAATTTTACAGTTCTCATATCATTTTATTCACATAAATCCAAATTTTGAGAAATTTTTCATGTAGTTTTATTTATGACCAAAATACCCTTATCCTTTAAAAACTCCAAAACCATCGCAAAGCTATTCAATTTCTTTTCAAGTATGACAAAACTTTAAAGAAAACCGATTGGCCATCACATGTAGCCAAAATATTGGAAATTCTTGAACTCTCTTCTAAAACCTATAGTAAGATTGCAACTTCTGTAAAAATAAATAAATAAATAAAATAAAATAATCAAAACTTTTCAAATAGGCATTTAAGAAGTTGTACTTTATAAACTTTACTAAGTTATGGCATTGTACTTTCATTTATTTTCTTATTAGACATTGTATTTCCAAAAATATATCCAATTATAGCAATGAAAATTGCTTAGTATTTTGTTGACATTGTTGTAAGCCTATAATTTGGTAGAATTCCAAAGTACAATGATGAAAAAGCAAGAAATAAAAGAAGAGTGCTATGATAAACAAATAAATAAAAACATATTGTTATTTCATGTATTTGTCAATAATTCAAAATTAAAGATTTTTTTTACAATCAACTAAATGTGACCTGTTTAAAAGTGTTACTTCTGCCAATTTTGTCATCTCTATTTAAAATACCATGTTAGCAATTACGAAACATCAAGAACCCACTTGACCTCGAGTGAGAGTGGCAAGATCTTGCGGTGTTCCCTTACTGTTCACATTCAAAACAAAAAAAAATCCAGAATAATAAAACCATATTGGTTTTTAAAAAATATTGGACAATATTTATTCTTATGTATTAATGGGTGTTTGTTCATTAATTTCACATAATAATTTGAAACATATAGTTCTTTTTATTTAAGGTGGAGCCAAAGTTTTTCTTAATCATAAAGCTAAAAACCAAAATTATCAGCCTAAAGTAAAATTAGAAGCAAGTACACATATGATCCAAAAATATTAGAAGTTTTTTTTAAAAAAACAAATGATCTTTTTTAAAAGGTATTTGGTAATATTTTGATATATAAATCAAAATACATTATTCTTTTAAGTTAAAATGGAAAGTGTGTTTGTTTTGCTTTAAAAGTATAAGTATATTGATGTTTTTGAAATATATATATATATATATATATATATATATATATATAATCACAATGTATTTTTTAGTGTGTTTTTTTTAAAATTTATATATATATATATATATATATATATATATATATATAACTTCCCTTATGAACAGTAAAAGGGCCCTAGTTTTCATTAAAGTCCCTGGACTTATCTTCTTTGTTCGCTTTGTCACTTTTTTTTTAATTTGCTATGGACTGCTCTAGATCCTTTCACTTTAGATGTCGGTCCTTGTGGGGTTTTTCCATTCGTCAGACTGAGGTCCAATGAATTACACTAGATGTTTTCTACCGTCTCTGGTGTCCAATGGTTTTACACCAACTAGCTTCAACCGGGCTTAACTCCACCGATCCCGGTAGCCCCTTTTAAAACCTTCTTCTACTTTGATACAGTTCAATACACATAATAGATATCACCGTTTCTCCTCACCCCGCGACTTCTCTCTCTTCCTGCTTTACTCCCATCACCCTTCTATTTTGCCTTAAATTCAACAGTATCTTATTCCACATCCGCTACTCTCATCCGATTACACTCTTTAGAATTAGGTCACCGCCTTCTTTCACTTTGTAGGATAACCCAATGGATTGTTCATATTGAACATCGATCTCATCCTTCTCTTCATCGAATACTAAACTGACGAACTCAGTCAGGGCAGGAGAGATGTGCAGGGTGTTATCTCAGTCGACGATTGCATCAACTTATATGAGTGTGGGTCTTGCACGCTCTTATCGCAATTATTGTTGTTGCTGCAACGGATGACGATTGACACAACGTCATCAGGTAATTTGGTTTGGGGGGAGACGGAAGGCGAGGGAAGACATGGAAGAGTGTAGGAGCAAGTTGATTCCACCATTTGTTTCTTAATTTTACAGTTTTTAGTGTTTTTAAATCTTATTGATTTTGTTCTTTGTTCTTTGTTCTTTTTAAGTTTTGAACACCAACTGCTTGACAAAACTCCTCAATGAAAAATCTGGTCAAGATTTTGTTTCTACTTGGTAAACTGTATCATCGATCTCTTCTTTTACATTAAACTTATATTTGTTTCTACTGTAACATCTTGTTTCGGATTATTTTGTGATTTAAGGCCCGTGGGCCTTAATCCGAGTATGAGAAGGTTTTTAGGCTTTGAAGGAGAAAGGTTTAGGCCCTTTTTGGGATGTGGGTGAGCTAGGTTGTGTGATAAAAGAGTTCGGTTTGTGCTTTAGAGCCCAAATATATTGTTAAAGGCGCTGGTTCAGGCTTTTCATGAATTTTAGATCTGAGTTTGAGTGGGATTCAGGAGGAATAAAGTTGATAGAAATGTAGGGCTTCTCGTTACCTTTTCGTGGATATAAGGATCGTCAGAAACGGATTTATAACGAAGAAGTTATGGCTTTCGGAAGTTTCATGGTTTCAGGCATAGCCGAGTCCGCGGGGCGTACACAAAGCGTACGTTGGGCGTACTAGTGAAGAAGGCAGTACGTTGGGCGTACTTTGGAGTACGTTGGGCGTAATGACCAGGATGGTCGCGAATGTTCTTCGGAGTATGCTGGGCGTACGCCAATCTGACCTGAACCCTACTTTAGGGTCTTGGACCCTATTTAAGCTCCTTATCTCATAACCTAACCCTAATATATTCAGCCTCCATCTCTCTAAACCCTAGAAATCGACCCTAAGCCTCCATTTGAGTGATTCTTGAGCTTTTGGTGATTTAGTGAAGTTTTGATGCTTATAGTGGAAGAAGGAGTTCCTTGAGCAAGCATTGCTTGGCTTGGAGCTTGTGGATCCAAGCCCTAATCATATTGATCTAGCTCCAGAAATCATAAAGTTTGAATCTTGGTGGCTTTCTTATGTGGATCTATTGGGGTGATGACTTGTTATGTTTTTCCATTAAAGAATAAGGAGCCTTGAAAGAGAATAGCTTGAGCATCTAGCTTTTGGATCTGAGTTATACACTTGTTGGTGCATCTTCCAGAGGTATCAAGTTCGAAACTTGCTCATTGTTGTGCTAGTTCTTGTTTTGAGTCCATTTTTAGGATCTTATGTCCCAAGCTTGGAACTTTATGAGTTTGATGAACTCCAGAGTATAATACATGTCCTTTTAGATGCTTTTAGTCGCTTGGAGTCATAAAAATGAGATCTTGGTCATCAAGATCTCTCCATGCATGAGATATGAGCATTTTTGGTGTAAAGAGTGAGTGTATTTAGGTTTGGAACTTTATCAGCCATGCAAAGGCTTAAAGTCATGAACTTTATTGAGTATCAGCCTTTAGGGAGTCTAGATATGAGAGTATAGCTATGGTCTTAACGGGTTAAGACCAAGAGAGTGGAAAAAGAAAGTTTGGACGTACGTCGAGCGTAAATCCCGTACGCCCCACATACTGAACAAGTGTCCCCGATGGCCCGATCTGGATTCATGTGCACGCTGCGTGTACCAAGGGAGGTACGCCGCACGTAACCTCACTGTGGACTTTTTGGGCTAAGTCTCATTTTGGGCCTTGAGTGTTGGGCCTGGAGTTTGGGCTTGTTGCAATAGAGTTTTGGACCAAAGGAATATATTTACGTGCTTTGGGCCCTTGAGTTGGGCTTGCCATTTTAGACTTGAGAGTTGGGCCTCGGGAGAGCCCGTTGGTTATTGGGCCTTGGTGGGCCCAATGGGTTGTTGGTTATGGATGGGTTGGTTAGTGGACTACCTTTAGACCTAATGAGTGAGAGTTTGGACTTAGTTCCTAATTAAGTTAATTGTGGGTTTGGCTCAGAGATAGAGACCGATGCGCAGCAGCAGCGTTTATAGGGGTTGTTCATCATCCGAGGTGAGTCTTCTCACTATACTTACCATGAGTGGTATCTATGAGTGACCGGAGGGTCTTATGTGTTTACTTGAGTTATGCATCTTGCATGCGTGATATATATGCTATATTATGTGTTACTGGGACCGGACCGGAGGGTCCAACGAGCCGTGAGACCGGAGGGTCCACACTGAGACCGGACTGGAGGGTCCAACGAGCTGTGAGATCGGAGGGTCCACACTGAGACCGGACTAGAGGGTCCAACGAGCTGTGAGACCAGAGGGTCCTCACTGAGACCGGACCGGAGGGTCCAACGAGCTATAGCCATGAGAGGCTTATTATTTGTGTATGGGGTATCTTG